TCTTCCCACGGAGCAGCTGGTGGGTTTGAACTGCAGACCTTTTGGTTAGTAGCTGAATGCTTAACCACTGCGCCACCACGGCTCCTGTTTAACCATCATAGGCCTCCCCAGTGGCCAGCATGGAGAAGCCCTTCGGGAATACACATTGAACACATGAAAGTCTCAGATGTGTGTCTGCTAAGTCTTGGCTGTTTTTATCCATTTATTCAACATTTAGGAGCCCCACTGGTGCAGTGGTTAAGTGCTCAGCTGTCCCATGCCAGGAAGTTTAGATTTTATACAGTAAACAACAGGACAGCACTTATCTGCTAACGATTAGGCACCTACTGTGTACCGCAGGGACACTAGTAAATCCAGCAGACACCCTTGAGATCCTCATGGCCCATCACTGGAGGCTGACAGATCAGAATGGGGGAGGGAGATCTGCAGGGACTGTGGGTTCGAACCCACCAGCAGCTCCGCAGGAGAAAGATGTGGCAGTATGCTTCCATAAAGATTCACAGCCTTGAAAACCCTATAAGCACTTCACCAAAGAAGACATTCAAGCAGCTAACAAACATGTAAAGAAATGCTTGTGCTTATTAGCCATTAAAAAAAAAACCATTGCCATCGAGTTGATTGTGACTCATAGTGACCCTATAGGACAGAGTAGGACTGCCCCATAGGGTTTCCAAGCAGCGGCTGATGGAGTCAAACTGCTGACCTTTTGGTTAGCAACCTGAGTTCTTAACCACTGCGCCACCAGGGCTGCAGTTTAGAGAGATGCAAATCAAAACTACAATGAGATACCATCTCACTCCGACAATAATGGCACTAATCAAAAAAACAACAATGTTGGTGAGGTTTCGGGGAGGTTGGAACTCACATACACTGCTGGTGGGAATGTAAAGTGGTACAACTACTATGGAAAACGATATGGTGCTTCCTTAAAAAGTTAGAAATACCGTATGATCCAGCAGTCCCACTCCTAGGTACATACCTTGAAGAAATAAGAGCTGTGACAGGAATAGACATATGCACAACTGTGTTATTGCAGCATTATTCACAATAGCAAAAAGATGGAAACAACCTGAAGACAAACCATTGCTGTCGAGTTGATTCCAGCTCATAGCAACCCTAAGTGCCCCTCCATGGGTGAATGGATAAACGAACTGGTAGATACACATGATGGAATACTACACAGTGAGAGAGAATAAAGAATCCGTGAAACATCTCACAACATGGATGAATGTGGAGGACATTATGCGGAATGAAGTAAGTCCATCACAAAAGGACAAATACTGTATGAGACTACTATTAGAAAAAAACAAGGATTAAAACAAACCAACCCATTGCTGTCCAGTCGATTCTGACTCATAGTGACCCTATAGGACAGAGTAGAACTCCCCCTCAGGGTTTCCAAGTAGCAGCTGGTGGATTTGAACTGCCAACTTTTTGGTCAGCAGCCAAGTTCTTGATCACTTTGCCATCAGGGCTCTGAGACAAGGATTACACACAGAAAAAAATTCTCTGATGGTCACCAAGGATAGGAGGGAGAGGGAGGGAAAATTACTAGCTAGATAGAAGATACGTGTTAACATGGGTGAAATCCGTTGCTGTTGAGTCAATTCCGACTCATAGCGACCCTAAAGGACAGAGCAGAACTGCCTCATAGGGTTTCCAAGGAGCGCCTGGTGGATTTGAACTGCCTACCTTTTGGTTAGCAGCTGTAGCTCTTAACCAGTATGCCACCAGGGTTTCCAGTATTGGTGAAGGGAAAGACAATACACAATACGGAGGAAGTCAGCAAAAAAAACATGACCAAGGCAAAGGAAGACACTGAGAGGAACGCAAGAACAAAAGGCAACTACAATAATTCCTATAACATAGCCAATCCTGCAACAATACTATTAACAAACAATAAATTTACAAATGGATAAATAGGTATGCTAAAGAGAGGTGTAGGAGGGTATAAGGGAGCACACCCACCTGTGGATATAGGTTTCATTGTGGATATTTCTATATACATAATTGTAGGTGCTGCATGTATATTAATATAGACAATAGAGCACAAAAAAGGGGCACAGTCATGGAAACCTCTTAGACAACCTAACACCTCGTGGAATGAAGCTCCTCAGCTCGAAGGTGAAGGACCATAGACTCGGAACATTTACGTCAGTTGGCACAACACAGTTCATAAAGACAATGTTCTGCATCCTGCTTTGGTAAGTAGCATCTGGGGTCTTAAAAGCTTGCGAGTGTCCATCTAAAATACATCTATTGGTCTCTTCCTGTCCAGAGCAAAGGAGAGTGAAGAAAACCAAAGACTCAAAGGAGCAATTTGTCCAAAGGGCTCCGACTGGGATCACAACAGGTGGTCCTGGACAGAGCAGGTGAAAAATGTAGAACAAAAAATCAAATTCACAAAAAAGACCAGACTTACTGGTCTGACAGAAACTGGAGGATCCTCCGAGACTATGGCCATGAGACATGCTTCTGACCTGAATCTGCAGCCACTCCCAAACAACAGACAGGCCTGTAAAATCAACAGTAACACTGAGGAGAGGAAGGTGCTCCTTAGGACAATCAATTACGGGAGATCAAAGGGACAACATCTGCCCCAAGGCAAAGATGAAAAGGCAGGAAGGGGCAGAAAATCAGGACGAAAGGAAACGGGGAACTGAGGGTGGAACAGTGCTGACATATTGTGGGGAATGCAACCAAAGTCATGGAACACTTTATGTACAAACTATTGAATGGGAAACTAATTTGCTCTGTAAACGTTCACCTAAAGCACGATAAAAACATTAAGAAAAGAAAACCTTTATGGAGCAGTTTTACACTTCTGTACGGTCACTGTAAGTCAGAATCGATTCAATGGCGACAGGTTTGGTTTTTGTTTTTTACTGTGTCAGACCCCAGTGGAGACACTCAGCTGTGAATAGGACAAAGATCCCTCCCTACTCTAGTGGGGCTGATGCTCTAGGACCAACAATAAAGAAATAATTCAATTATATGTCTAATGGAACTTTAAGTAATGATCCATGTTACAGAGAAAAATAAGGCCTGTAAAGAGACAAAAGAGTTGGCATGGCTTACCTCAGCCATGGTGATCAGGGAAGGCCCTCTGAGGAGGTGACGTTTGTGTAAAGACCTGAAGGATAGCTATGGGCCTATTTGAGGTGAGAGTGCTTCTGGCAGCGGGGTCAGCAAGTACAAAAGTCCTGAGACAGGCAGGACTTTGTGGGGTGCAAGGAACAGCAAGGAGGCCAATGAGACTGGAGAGAGGCGATTAAGGGTGACAGGTGGAAGAGATGAGGTGGGGGGCAGCAGGGGCTGCACCACGCTGGGCCTTGCCTTCTGTACCCAGCCCCATCACTGGCTCGGACTCACCTTTGCTCAGTCAGTGTTCTTCTAGTGGAGGAATGGGACCTGGGGCAGCCACAGAATGGGAGCTGTCCAGGCTGTCTTCCTTCTCCAGAGCTCTGTGTTCCTGCTTTTGAGGGAGGAGAAGGTTGGGGGGGCTGGGTGTGGGGGAGGAGGCCCAGCTGTTGTCTCCTTACGCTGTTGAGGGTGATGGGAATGGGGACGTGCAGCGAGGAGTGCAGCTGGTTCTGAATCAAGATAGGCCAAGTGGGAAGACAGTTTGGGGTAAACTGAGGCACAGTGGATGGACACAGGATAGAGGAGGCATTGAGGGTGGGGCAGGGGTGCGCTCTTTAATAGAAGGGACATCCCGAGGACTGACACCCATAGCTGCAGCTACTGCCTTCGTCTATGCATCATGGCAAGCCATCAGCACCTCCAACCCCAAGGCAGCTCCAGCTCCACCCATCCTGGCAAGGTGGCCTCAGCTCTGTCGGTAACCAGGCCTGGCGGAAGCCCCTCACCCCCATCCCTCCAAGAGTTAGCTGGGTCAGCAGGTCACCACTGGGCGGAAGAGATGATAAGCAGTGGGAGGGGGAGGAAGGAGCATGGTCCCCACCCTTGACCAAAGGTCCATGAGAGCAGGAAATGAGCATCAAGAGGGCAAGCAGCAGGCTCCAGGTCACACCAGGAAAGACAGCTTGGATTGTGCCTGGCACTTACTGTTGTTAGATGCTGTCAAGTTGGTTCCGACTCACAACAACCCTATGTGCAACAGAACAAAACACTGCCCGGTCCCACAGCAATCCTCACAATCTCTGCTGTATTTGAGTCCATTGTTGCAGCCACTGTGTCAATCCATCTCATTGAAGGTCTTCCTCTTTTTTGATGACCCTCACCTTACCAAGCATGATGTCCTTCTCCAGGGACTGGTCCTTCCTCATAACATGTCCAAAGTATGTGAGATGAAGTCTCGCCATCCTTGCTTCAAAGGAGCATCCTGGCTGTGCTTCTTCCAAAACAGATTTATTTGTTCTTCTGGCAGTCTATGGTATATTCAATATTCTTCTCCAACACCGTAATTCAAATGCCTCAATTCTTCAGTCTTCCTTATTCATTGTCCAGCTTTTGCATGCATATGAAGCCAATGAAAATACTGGTACTTAGCAGGCCCTTAAAAAAAAAAGAAGAACCTGCAGGATCGGGATTTGAACACTGGACTTGTTACACATCGAAGACACAGAAGCACAGGAGTCCTTTATAAAAACTTTATTGGGGGGGTAGAAAATAGGGCTGTCGCCCCTGGAGTTGAATAAATAAATGAGTAAATAAATAAATGGAACAATAAATAGGCCCCCGTGTACGTCTGGGGGCATCCCCGGGCCCGCGGGGAGGGGGGCACGGGCTCACGCCGATGTCAGCTGGATGGCGAAGACCTCGCCCCCCGCCGGCGCCTCGGTCGACCCCGCCGCCTCAAGTCCACCTTCCGCACCGGGGCCCCCGCCAGCGCCGCCGCCTGCGCCATTGAGGCACACGGCCTCGCCCGAGCTCTCGGCCTCCTGCACATTGTATTCACCCTTCTTGCAGGCTGTGGACTGCACGTAGAAGGCCAGGCCGGCCCCCGCAGCCAGCAGCGCCGCGCCCCCCGCCGCGCCGCCCACGGCGACCCACATCCACGGACCTGCGGGGAGGGATTTAGTTGGGGCTCCCCATCCTCTGCCCTTGGTCCCTCTCCAACCCCCCTTCCACACAGCGTACTGTGGAAGGTGAACTGGGTCACGTGTGCACCACTCAGAACCCACCCCACGCTAATAATTCCCTCCTGATCGCAGCCAAGCCGTGGAAGATCCGCTCCCCCATCACTAACCCCCACCCCAGCCAGCCATCGTCAGCCCCATCTTCAGGGCGCCCCTAACTGCGACCCTGGCCCACTCTAGTCTCAGCTGTAGGGACTAAAAAGGAGGCAGGGTCGGAGTCAGGCGTTCCAAGCCCCAGGTCACGCCCCCCAGCAGATCCCTCGCTCCCCCCACCCCCGCCAGCTGCCACTCACCGGCCACGCGCACCGTGATGCGCCGCGCGTGGCGCCCGTGCGCGTTGGTGGCTGCGCACTCGTACTCGCCGCCGTGGCTGCCCATGGCGCCGGCCACGCTCAGCGTGCTATTGTTGCTTGACAGGCCAATGTTGGGGGCCCCCGGGGGCGCGCGCCAGCTGATCTGGGCTGGGGGCCACGCCTCGGCGCGGCACGTCAGCGTGAAGTTCCCTCCAGGCCGCACGCCTCCCGGGGGCGAGGCTGCCAGCTCGGCCACCACCGGCCGGTCTGCGGGGGGCAGGAGGCTGGAGGGAGGCGTTCCACCCACCACAATCGGTCTGGGACCACCCCCCTTCGGTGGAGCGGGGCAAGGATCCTGCCTAGCACCAGAACTTCTTCCCTCGATAAGCCGCTTGTAGTCGCACTGTAGTCAGGACTAGAATCCTGCGCCTTTTTCCCCATCAACCGGCAGGAAGCCGCTTTTCCACAGAATGGGAAATGGAGACCCGCGCCAGTGTCCTTCTGGCTCAGGATTTAAGGGGACCGGGCTCCTGTTAGAGGTTTTACTACCTAAGGTTTAGGCTGGAAATCCTTGTCCTCGAAAACGGGACTGGGAGAGATGCCCCCTGCACTCCCTTGGGGCCCCCAATCGCTGCGAGCCACTTTTCTATGGTGCCCAGTCCTCTCCATCCACTGCTGCCCCTACTCACATTCCACGCCCACGGTGACAGTGCGGGCGTCCGTGCCGTGAGCGTTGGTGGCCACGCAGCGATAGGTGCCCGCGTCGTTTCGGGACACGCGCTGCCGTTCAGGCCGCGGCGTGCCTTCCCGCGAGCAGCGCACCCGTGGGGAGGGGCGACCCCCGGCGGCGCAGGCAAGCGCGGCCACTTCGGCCCCTTCTAGCCACGTCTGGTTACTGGGGCAGGTTGACTCATCCATCTGAGGCGGCGCTGCAAAGCAGCCATGGCGGGCGTTAGGAAGGGGTCCGGATCTGGGGCACCCCCTACCCCCCGCCCGCCTGGGCCCCGCTCACACTCCGCGCTCACGGCGACCATCTTGACCACCGAGCCGTGCCGGTTGGTGGCGTTGCAGACATAGATGCCAGGTGCCAGGGCACTGGAGATGCTGGAGGCTCTGGGAGTAGGGCCTGGGGAGGCCAGCGGTAGCAGCAGCCCCTCACTGGCGCCCCCGGAGCCGACGCACTCCAGGCTTGGCTCTGGCTTCCCGTCGACCTCACAGGGAAACAGCCGCCCAGACCCTTCCACCCATGTCCAATTGCTGGGGCAGCTCAGCTCCTCAAAACTGGGGCCATCTAAGGGTCAACGGTGACACAGGGGCAGGAAGTCAGGCCTGGGATGTCCTGGAAGGCCCGTCTCACCCCGTGGTGCCCCCACTCACATTCCACCGTGACAGCCACATTTTTGGCGGCAGAGCCGAGCGCGTTGGTGGCTTCGCAGCGGTAGGTGCCCGCGTGCTCCCGGGCCACGTGCAGCAGCCCCTCGATGACCCCATCCTCCTCAGAGCGCACACAGCTCACAGTGGGCGGCGGGACCCCGTGGGCCACACAGCTCAGAGAGGCCTCTATTCCTTCTAGCCACGTAATGCGTTCTGGGCAGCCCACGCTGTCCAGTGCCGGTGCGTCTGGGGAGCGGGTCGTTGTTGGATTTGGGGTTTTAGGGCTGGCATGATGTCCCTAGGCCCTCCTCCCTCCCAAGGCCTCAGTGAAGGGTGGGAGCAGGCTATGTCCTGCATCGGCTGTGTCTCAGGACTTCTGAACTCTAAGGATCATCTTTCCCTGATTCTCAGAAAGCGCCCGCAGGACCCATCTTGAGTCTTTGCTGTCGCAAGTGGTCCCAAGGTTTCGCCTAAACGCCACGCCCCAGACCCCTATGGACACACTTAGGACCCCTCTTGTCCTTCTCGGAGATCTCCCCCCAACCACTAAAAGGTAGCCTTTTCTTTTTCCCAAAATCCTGCCCAAAGGCACACCTCAGACGTCAGAACCCTATAGGCACGTCTGACTTTGTTCCTACTCTTCCCTTGTAGACCGACTACCCCTGACCCTGAGAACAAGACAAGGATGCACCCCACGCACCCCTACTCACACTCCACCGTCAGCGTCACATCCTTGACCGCCTCGCCCTGGACGTTGGCCGCCGTGCAGCGGTAGGTGCCGGCGAGTGCGCGAGTGACCGGACCCAGCAGGCCCAGCGCCAGCACCGCCCCGCTGTCGGGCCGCGCGCAGTGCACGGAAGGCCCTGGATTTCCCCGGGCCTCACAGCGCAGCGTCTGCTCTGGTCCCTCCGGCCAAGTCCAGCTCCTGGGACAGTCCGAATCGTCCAGCCGGGGGGCATCTGCGGGCACGAGGGGATACAGAGCTAGACGTGGACCGTGAAGAAAGTCCCTGTCTCCACGGTACCGCCAGGGAGCCGCCAAGACTTTGGAAGTAGGGGGTGGGGGAGCGCGAGGTGATAAAAGCCAACTCACATAGGACGCGTAGCTCGGCGCTCCGGTTCTTACTCAAGATCTCCCCGTTCACCTCGAGGGTGGCGTCGCAGAAGAAGCCGCGCCTGTCGTCATTCTCGGTAGCGTTTAGCTGGAGCTGGGCAGGCTGTCCGGAGGCCACGGCTTGAACTCCATCCAGTGTGACCAGGGCTCGGGCCCCAGCTGTGCAGGTAACCGTCACCGTCGTCCCCTCGGGTGCTACGGGCTCGCTTAGGGTTAGGAGGGGCGCCGGGAAGCCTGGGGACCAGGCATAGGCTGGGAGTCCACTGACCACACCCTTCTCGCCAGTCTAAGCCCACCCACTATCTCCAGAATCCCCTTAGCGCTGCGACCAAACCGTGTAACACGCCCCGCCTCTCGGGACGCTCTTGCTCTGCCTCCTACGTGCCCCGCGTCCTGGAGTTGAGCCAAATCCCCAGGGACCCCTGCCCTTTTGCGGTCCTTCCCATTGGAGCGGTTCAGACTCCGCCTCTTCAGCTACTTGATCTTGATCCCCTATCTGCCTTGTCCCTTCGGGCGCTCTCGGACCACGCCTGCTCCACTGTCCTCCAATGGAGGCCCCGCCTGCTATCCTCCTCGCCCCGCCTTCTAGTTCCTTTGGCTCCGCCCCCAAGCCCCGCCCCGCCCCTCCTCCTCTTACTGTAGACCGTCACGTTCTCCCGTGTCTCGCGGCTCTCGCCCCCCAGAGTCACGTTGCAGACCAGCTGCCCAATGCCCTCCTCCTCTGCTCGCGCTGTGGCAGTGGCCGTGAGCGCGTCCCCCTCGCGCGTGACTTCGGAATTCAGCCTCTGATCTCCCAGCGCCAGGTAGATCTGGGCCTCAGAGGCCGGGAACAGTCTTTCGAGGGAGCAGCTCACAGGCCTTTCTAACCCCACTTCCAAGAGCCGGGGAGCGGCTAGGCGCGGGCGATCCGGAGTTAGGGCTGGGGGGTCGAACAACAGAGTTTGAGCTTTTCATGTGTTGGGCACTCAATATGTGCTAAGCGTTTACATGCACGCTTATTTAATCCTCACAATCATATAATAGGAAAGTACTAATATCACCCTAGAGGCAGAGAGAGGCAAATAACTTTCAGCTGCCAAGTGTTGACGTAAGGATTAGAATTCAGGCCTTTCTGCCTCTAAACTGCTTAAACACCAGACCGACTCCACTTGGTCGCGTTCTTCCCTCACCCACTCACTGTAAGTCCGGAGCTGTCTGGGGGCCGAACTATTTTCAAACAGTCCCAGCCCATGCGGCCGCAGGTCCAGCTCCGCGCGACATGAGAAATTGGCCTCGTGGTCCTCCCTCCGCGCCAGTACAGTGGCCGAGAGCACCGCGCCCCGCGCCCGCGGTGGCTCCCCGACGAAGCTGCGGCGGATCAGCTCCTGGGCGCCCCGCAGCAGGGTCAGCGTGAGGCTCCCACGGGGCCCCGCGCCGGGAACCCTACAGCTCAGGGTGAAGTTCTCGCCCACGGGCTGCCAGGGGGGCAGCGGCATCAGCTCTACGCGATCCGGCCGTTCTGCAGGGGAACCGCAGCTCTTGCCTTTAGCGGCCCAGAGCCCAGTGGACCCGAGGGAAGCGGGGGCCAGGAGGGGAGGCCCTTGGGAACCAGAGGGTGGGGCTTGAAGGGGCAGACCCGGGGACCCGGGAGGAGGAGTCTGGAAGGGAGTGAACACAGAGTACGAGCGTGGCGGTGGAGAACTCACGGAAGGTGCGGATGAGCCCACGCGCCTGCAGTGTGCGCCGCGCGCAGCGGAAGAAGCAGACTGGCTGGGTCTCCGGTTCGCGGATGTCCACTAGCTGCCGTGCCAGCCAGCGCAGACCCCTCTGGGTCCCGTTCCGGCGCAGCGAGGTCTCCAGGCCACCGCGTTCCGGCCGTGGACAGTTGGTGCTGCAATTCAGCCACAGCGATCCCCCGCGCTCCACGAGCGCCACGCGAGGCTGCAGGTCCGCCCAGAAGGGTTCCTGCGCGACCACTGCGCAAGGAAATGCAGGCTCAGCCTGAGGGAGCCCCCTTTCCGGAATCTGAGCGCCCCTAGCCAAGTCAGGGGTCCCAAGGGGACGCGCAGAGGCCAAAGTCAGGACAGAGCCTAGGAGTCCCGCGTTCAGCCCAGACCTCAGATTTGGAGGAGAGCTTCTAGGGTCTAAACCTTGAGGATGTCTTTGGGACGTGGGGGCGGAAAGCCGTGGTCTCCAAGGCGTAGATGGAGCGGTGGCAAGGAATGGGGGAAGGGGAAGAGGGTCTTTGGCACACTGCAACGCTGGGAGGAAGGGATCCCGGGTGGCGGAAGGGGAACAAACCGGTTCTCAGACTCCTGGCACATCGCGGGGAGAGGGGAGACTGAGGTTGGGGCGAGGCAAAGGAGAGATGAGGCTAGGTTAAGGATAAGGGAGGACCCCAACTCCTGATGAAGAACATGGTAAGAGGGCTCAGAGTTGGGCACGTGCAAGGGACAGCGGGAACAGGCAAGGGACCGGGTTGCCACGGCTCCAGGTGGCGCGGTGACAGCGCCTCTGAGTCACAGTAGTTGGATAGATCGGGTCTTCGAGGACCGGGAGTAGGGAAGATGACAGCCTGTGGACCTTGGTACCCAGCAGAGCCCGAGGTGGTAACCCGGAAAGGGACAGGAGAGATACGGGGCCTCCAGGGCGCGAGATTGGGTGAGAAAGAGCACTCAGGATCTCGAGGGGGTAGGGTAGAGACCTGGGCACGCGAGGCGTCAGGGAGCAGGGTCTCGGGTGTGCACTGGGAGGAGGAATAGGGAGAAGACTCGGAGTAGAAGCGTGGGAGCGAGGCGCAGGGCGGAGCCGGGAGGGTCACGCGGCCGCGTCTCCGGTCTGGGAACACCGCCCTCGCCCGGTCTACCCTCGGCCGGGGCCGGCGCTTACCTGAGAGACCGAGGAGCCCCAGGCTCAGGGCAGCCCAGAGGCCGAGGAGCGCCCAGCGCAGCCCTGGCCAGGGCCCTGGCATCGCCGCCGCGGGGGAAACGCAGGAGGCGAGGGGAGCGCTAGCTACGAGCTGGGCTAGAGGACGGCGCGGCGCGGCGGGTGGAGTGTGGGGGAGGCAGAGTTGCGCTCGGGGATTGGCTTAACGTTGGTAACTTGGTTTCCAAGGAGGGGGCGGCAGCAGAGCCGGCAAGGGGCGGGGGGGGCGAGCGTGCGCCAGGCTTCGGGCCTTGGTGACGGCGAGCTGGCAGGAGCGAGCGACCCCCGGAGTCTACAAGGAGGCTCGCCGGAGCGCCTGGAGCTTTCTGGGGGCGGCCGCCCGCTCCCGCGTCATCCCCGCTGGCAACGCGGAGGTCGAAGATGCTGAATTCTCCAAACCCCTACCCCACCCCTACCTTGGAGGCTATGATAATATGCTGGTCTCCGAGCCCCGCCCCCATATTTAGTTCCCTCCCACCAGCTCCCCTCAGGCAGGGATTGATTTGGGTGCTAGGAGAGGTTTGGGAGGCTCAGGATGGAGAGGGGAGAGGTCTAGGAGAGGGCTTGGGGCTGCCCCCTTCACTGATCTTTCCCCTTTTAACCCAAGGGGAACTGAGGGTTATATCCACGCCCTTTCGTCCCCCTCACCCTCGCCCCGGCCAGCGACCGAGGGGGCGGGGACGAGTACCAGCGAGCGAGGAACACGTGTGCATGCGCGCAGCGTTCGCGGGCGTCTAAATTAGGGTTGGCTCTGCTCGGGGGGTGGTCTGTATTTACCCAGAGTGCAGCGGGCACGTGTCTCCTCGGCATGTGTGAGCGCTAGCGGCAGAGTAGCGCCCTTGAATCCTCCTGCGGCGCCGCGGGCGGGGCCCTGGACCGCGCGGGCTTTGCCAAGCACCCAGTGCGGGCCCCGATTCTGTGTCCACGCGAGCCCCAGAGATCAATTGTAACGCTTTTGACACCACACGCGGACACCAAGCTCTGACACCCCTCCATGTGCCCACGTAGCCGCGTGACTACCAGGACGCTGTGACACCCCATGTGGACCGTCTGATTACCCTTTCTCGGCTGTCACCACATGGGTGCTTCTGCATATCCGTGTCTCTCAGTATGTCCATGTGACCCTGCCCATTTGTGCTGTCACCACCAGCGCTAATCCTGAGCTATGGGGGGACAATTCTCCTCTACCCTTGTCCTCCAGAAAAACCTAAGGTCTAAAGTGGAGGTGGGGGTGAGGAAGGAAAAAACTCCTCAGAGCTGCTGCGAGGCAGGTGCGGGAGGCAATCAAGAAAAGTCATGCCGTGATCCAGACCCCTCAGGGCCCTCCAGGGCCAGGGCTTTGCCCATCTGCACCACACTGATAAGGCCCTCAGAAGGAGAGTGTTTTACTACACCGGCTGGGACTGCAGAGGAATTGGGACTCGGAGGACCCCAGGTAGGCCTGAGTGAGAGGACCTCAGGTGCCCTCAGGAAGACAAAGAACTTGGAGAAAGTGATTCCAGCAGAACCAGAAAAAGAGACCACTTCCTCTGAGGAGATGCACTAATGGGGAATGGTTATGCCAGGCCACAGGACAGAGCCTTTATTGATCTGAGTTGATCTGAGGAAGACTTTATTGATCTGGGTAGGACTCCCCAAATTGCTCCAGATCTTTTTTTTCCTTCTGTAGGCATGGGCAACTCCCCCCTACTACCCTACACCTGTGCCTGCATCAGGTAGGCAGCTCCAACGGCGAGAAGGATCACAAGTGATGCGATGGAGGTGAAGGTCAAGGCTTTGGACTCGGTGCTCCAAGCTGAGGGTAGGAGGCAGGAATCAGGAACCCAGCATGTGGAGGAGGTCTTGCACAGAGCTCACGCAGGAGCCGTGTTCCCTTTTGGGGTCAGGACCTTCCCCACCCTCTCTCCAAGTCCCCAAGATTAGAGGTGCCTCACCTAGGGCAGTCAGCATCAAGGGTGCTGAGCTGCTGTGGACCACCAGGCCATCGAGATTGAAGTGTGCATGGCACGTCACGGGCTGCCAGAGGTCAGGGGACCTGGAAGGCAGCATGTAGGTCAGCGTCACATTGGCTGGATTCACGTTCGTGAAGTGCTTCAGGCTCTCTGAGTAGATGACGCGGCCACCATGCTGAAAGCTCACTACCAGGAAGCCCACAGGGAAAACTCGCGTCATGTGGCAGCGCAGCGTGTACTCGCTGCCCTCTAAGACCAGAGGCTCCAGGAGCATGCTGTGCGGCAGTTCTAAGACAAGAAAGGGCTGCTGAGCAAGGCCTGTGGGTGCCCCTATCCCCCACTCTCTTCGCCTCCCACCCCTTAACCCATCCCAGTCCCGGCCCTTGAGCCTTACGGTAGGCAGTGACTCTGGTCGTGGCTGAGCGCATTTCCCCTGCGCAGGTGACAAAGCAATGCACGTCAGAGCTCCAGGCCCTCACGTCCAGCAGCTGGTAGGACACCCAGCCCGACCCACTGAGCGTTTTGCCCTGCTGCAGCTGGGTCCTAAGTTGGTAGTTCTCAGGCAGGGGGCAGCTGCTGGAGCAGTTGAGCAACACTGAGCTCCCCGGCGGCACTGACACGAGCTCTGGGCTTAAGCGCACCCAGAATGGTGCTGAGGTCCCTGAGGGTGAGACAGGGCTGACCCCGGGGCTTTGCGCCCACTCAGCCCGGCGCTCACGCACACTCCTGCCTCCCGAATAGGTGGCTCCCAGCAAAAACAATGGTGAAAGGAGTAGCAGAGACCCCATGGCAAAGAGCTGGAACTGTGGGTCCAGCGCCAGGGAGACACAGCTGCCTCTGGAGATAAGGAGGCCGGCAGTCCCGCCTCCTCAGCCCCGCCCAGAGGAACAGAGGCCCCCAGAGGGCCCAGGAACCCAGCAGCAGATATTCCCCTCCCTCAGCTCAAGAATGAGATTCTATACCCCATTATAAACCAAATATCAATGTGCTTTTCTGGAGAGGAGTCTTTAGTTTTCACTAGAATCCGGAAAGTTCATAAAAAGCCCCAGAATTGGATCAGAGACCCAGGATTGGACCTTGAACCGCAGCCTGCTCTTGGGGGAGGAAGTGGGAGGACAAGGCTTTAGTAGAGCTGCTAGAAAGGGTTCCAGCTGGACGTGACACCTCCCCTGGACTCACACAAGGCGTAGGCTGGATGAAAAAGCTTTATTAAAGAACGAGGCCTCCAGAGCTGGGAGGGTGGTGTCCTCGGAAACCATGGTCTCCTTCCCCACTGCCTGCAGGGCCTGCAGGAATTTGGAGTTGAGAGTGTTGTGTTTGTTCACGGTCCCACGGAGATGTAAGCAGCTAGGACAGGACAGGGGCATGCAGGGGCTGGGCGTAGTTACGTGGGGCTTCATGATTCAGCTGCCAAGGAGTGGCACCCATGTTTAGGCATGGCCACCAAATGTCATTGTGAGCACTGGCAGAGATGCGTTTGGGTGGGGAGGTGGCTAACAGAGGTCAGCGCCAGTGCTGGGGGGAAAGGGCTTAGTGGGTCCTCCCTGGGCATGTGAGCATTGCTAGTCCATACAGCGCCTTTGTGCAAGACAGAAAAGGGCACCCCTTCTGGGGGAAATCAGCCTGGCCAATGGAGTGAGGAATTGCAGCCCCACTTGGTCTTTTTGCCAGGCACCCTCGCGCAGTGCACAGCCAGAATAACTGTACCTGGAGGCCCTGAATGAGGTTACACTGAGAGCTCCCTGAGGGCAGGAACCTAAATTCACCTTGTTCACCATTCAAGCCTACATAAAAGACACTCAATAAATAGCTAGTAAAAGAACAAATGAATAAATATGGCATCATCAAGAGTTGGAGACAGTCAGTGGACAGTAGTGCCAGAGCCGGCATCTCTTGGAGGAAGTGTAGGGATTTGTGTTTCGATGCTGCGTGTGTCCTGTGGACTGTGGGGCCTCAGCACACGCAGCGGGAGATGAGTTTCAGTTTCCTGGCTGTGTGTCCCCATGTTGTGGGATATGCATCTCCCAACACTCCCCCTCTGGCCAGTCAGACTTTAACATCTCTGTAGTCATTCTCCTCAGTGCTTCCTCCTCTTAGTTCAGTCCTGTGACTACAGATCAGGTGGGAGCCCTGAGGGTCCTTGGTGTGCAGGTACCATGACCCCAAGCACTGCCTATATGCCAGCTGAGGCCAATCTCCTGTAGCACCTGGAGGAGGTGGGTGTAGCTAAATGGTGTATATCCACCACGCTGTCCAATGTGGAGGGCTGCCACCATGTGGGAGAACCAAGGAGGAAGCCAGTCCTGGGGTGGGATCAGGGTGGTGTGTTCATCTTCATGGAGGCCTCCTCCTGGGCCTTCTGTAGTTTGTATTTCCTGATCTTTCGCTGGCGGTTATAGAGGTAACCAGCTATGCCTGCAAGGCCCAGTATGGCCACGGCTGCCACCGTAATGATGATGGCCAAGTTGTTCTGGTGGTCTGTGGGGAAGACACAGGGGGTGGTGAGGGCTGAGCCGGGCCCCCTGTCCCACCCCACCCCACCCACCCGCGCCACTCACAGAGCACATTCACGACCACTTGGCGGGTGACCTCGCCACGCACGCTCACGGCCCGGCAGAGGTAGGTGCCTGCAAATTCCCGTTTGACAGGCCTCAGGTCCCCGATGGGCAGTGAGACCTTATCCCCTTTTCGGTGACAGTCCAGCTTGGGGGGTGGGTTTCCCCAGGCCTGGCACTTCAGAGTCTTCTCGGAGCCTTCCTGCCATGTCCAGTTTCCTGGGCAGTCCTCCTCATTCAGTCGGGGTCCATCTGGAGAACCACAGCAAGATGAGGGCTGGGGGTCAGGGACTAGGACACCCCTCCCCACCCAGGACTGGAGGGCTTAGGTAGGAATCTGGAAAGAGGATGCGGGTGAGAGCAGGCCTTGGAGGGCAGGAGTTCATGGGGCCTTAGGGGTTGGGCTTCGAGGTCAGGGGTCGTTGTCCTACTCACACAGGACTTGGAGCTGCTGGGTCTGGTTCTTGTACAGCACCCGCCCAGCTACCTCCAGGGCAGCAGAGCAGGAGAAGCTGCGGCCGTTGTCCTTAGCGCTGGCGTTAAAACTGAATTGGGCCTTGGAAGCCGGCATCTGGGCGGAGGTTGGAGCTGGAGCCCCAGTCAGTGTCACCACAGCTGCAGCATGGGCCTCACACGCAACAGTCACCATTGTCCATTCTGAGACCTCTAGCTCACTCAAGGTCAGGCTAGGTGCCGGGAAGCCTGGGGGCGGGGCATATAGTGAGCCCTGCCCCTCTGAAGCCCTACCCCTCTGAAGCCCTGCTGCCACCCCTTCTTACTGTATATGGTCACTTTCTTCCTTGTCTCCTGGTTCTGGTTCCCCAGGTTTACTGCACACGTCAGCTGCTGGGTACCCTCCTGGTCCAGGTCTGCCATGACCATGGCCGTGGCCAAGAGCAGGTCGTCACTGTCCTTGATCGTGGGGCTCAATCGCCGGCCCCCCAGTGACAGCTGGACCCAGGCCTCCCAGACTGGGAACACCCCATCCAAGAAGCAGTCCACGGTGGAGTTTTTGCCCACCTCCAAGATATCAGGGGCACTAAGGTGCGGTCTGGTCATTGGCAGGGCTAGAGAGAGAGGGGCGGGTGTGAGCAGAGGGGACGGAGGTCCTTCCGCCCTTTCCTGGGGCATTTTCATTCCCCCACCTGGAATATCCTCTTCTCGGGACACTCTGCGGCATGGCTCACCCACATCCCAGGACACACCCACCCGTTGGCCGGGGTCACAGCTTACTCATAAAACCCTGCGGCCGTGGCACCCTATCCCAGGA